TTGTCACCTCAACTCAGGCATCTTAGATTAATGAAAACTTTTCGGTGCAAACTATGTGCCTGTGATCTACTTCAGAAAATGGGGTTAATGCTACTCCTTTGGGGGTCTGAGACAATCAAGTCATTATTTGTTGTATTTTGTGAAACACTGTGATTGATAGTAGCAAAAGAAAAGCCTGTGAGGAATTTAATAATTCTCTTCAGAGCTTTGAAGAATTGATGCAACTGAAAAAAACATGAGGCTGCAAACTGAAGAATAAGGAGAAAACACAACACTGAGCAGCTGTTCATGAAGTGAGCCCCTTTATCCTGTATAAACCATGAGGCAGCACTTGTGGAAAAAGTCGTACGGGATCGTGCCCTTAAGAACTATAATATGATGCGTATGCCAGAGGCCATTCCATTTCCACAGGCTACTTGCAGTTTGATATTTCCTGACTTTTGATGTTTGCATCTGCAAAATTAGTAATATGTTGTTAATAAAAGCTCTTGTATATTATAATAAATGCTAATAATTTGGAAGCATAGGAGCTGATGTGCTTCAGGCTTTCAATGCTGACAGCTTAGAAGGAGAGATAAGGGCGGGGGGGGATGCAGACCTCCCTCATGGCTCACTGTCAGGTTTGCACGCTTCCTGCCGCACATCCAGCATTTTCTGCTGTCTGCGACGTGAGAGCGGATTAAATGAATCTAGGTGGTTGATTTATAATGGTAATTCCTGTGCATCTGTGGGCTTTGCCCATGACGCTCCCTTTGGTGATGTTACCCCTCTGCTGAGTGGAGGGACAGGAAAGGGTCAGTATGTTGCTCCCAACTCTATTTCAGTATCGATGGAAAAATTGTCTCTGCTTGTGGATTTGCTGACTGTCTGTTTAAACCAGTTTAGATGAATGCAGAGAAACCAGGATTTTGCAGAGCTTTAAACCCAGATAATAATTCCTGGTCTTTGCCTGTTCTGGGTCAAAAATTTGATCACCATTTCTTTTTCCACAATGTAAGTTTGCCCATATTTATTCAGACTTTTCCAAAATATTTGTAGACTTTTCAATAAGTATAAATGTCTTGCCACTTTTGGATGTAAACACCAAAAATACTGATAGGAAGACTTTACGGAGATGCAATTTTAATACTTCTCGTTCTTTCCAGTATTTATCATCCTTGGGAGTAAATGTTTTCGTTTATTTTGACAGCATCAGTGTAATGATCAGTGTCAGTTACTGAATGGTTTTCCACTGACTTTAGTAATATATTTTGATAGAAATGATACCTGGTAAACATGGAGTGGTTTTGTTTGTGCAGCTGTAGCCACTTGGGATGGCATCCCAAGAGCCCTTTCTGTCCTTCAGTGCGGCATATGCACTTTAACCTTTATATGCATTTCGCAGATTGTACCGGAAAGCAAATTTTTCAAAAAATTGTTATTTTTTTGCCATTCTAGATATCTGGAAGTGGCTGAGAAATGAAGTTGGAGACGTCATAATGTAAAATGCAGATGGAAATAAATAGATAGTGCTAGATGCGATGTCAAGTGTTGACACAGCTTAGCCATAAGGAAGCCTGAAGCAGACGTTTTGTTTTATTTCTGTTTTTTCTTTGCACACCTGCACGTTTCACAGAACAGAAATACTAGGTGCTGTTCAGTATATTTCTTTCTGGGGGAAAGAATGTACGAACTGAAATTTCATTGCCTCTTTCCAAAATGCAGCCTGCATCTGCTCCCTGCAGTGTGTGTGCGCGCCATCAGTGCAGACTTACTAAGTGCTGAATGTAAAATACATCATCCAGTTATTTGCAGCTATTATAAATGTAACGATGCTACTGCAAGCACAGTGGAAGGCTTCTTATGGAAATTACCTTCTGATTCCTAAGCTCTTCAGTGAGCTTGAATACACTGTGTTTTCCAGTGAAGACAAAGGAACAGAGTTACGAATTTTTTAGTTTTCTGCAGAGCAGTATAGAGTTTATTAAATGAAGGTAGGCTCAGCTGGGAAACTGTAATGTTAGGTGAAATTTCAGTCTTGGAGTTTGAGAAGCTTCTTGAGAAGTTGCATCTAGACTGTAGCGTTCACCTGTATTCATAAAATACTTTATTTTGAAAAGTGATTAGAAACCTATGGCAGATTAAAAGCTGTTTTAGGAGCTTCTCCTTATATTAGTAGAGGAGACACATCTAGCAATGAATGTGCTTAAGATAGTATGTTTGTATCCTAAGTAGTTTAGTATTTTCCATGCCTCAGCCAGAATTTCAGTAATATCAGGTCAGCTCTATCCAGAACGGAGTTGGGAAAAAAGGTGCTTTTGATATTGTTGAAAGTATTCTTAGGGTGTTGGGTGAGCCTGGACACCAGTGTGCAGAAAAAATAATATTTGGATGAGACAGGATGCTGAAGAACCTGCAGGTTTTGAGAGAAGAGCCATGCTGGGACTAGAACCGAGTGCAGGGCTCCCAAACCCAACGTATTTCTGCTTTGCAAATGTTGTTACTGCAAAGCTGAAAGACGTGGTACGCTTCACTCGATGGTCCACGTGGAAGATAGCAAACTGCTACTTCTGCCAGATACTCTGTTACGTACACAGTGAAGATGTGTGTAGTACATGCAGAGGCTGCTCAGAACCAGTGTTCATGTCCATATGGATGGACAAGGCATTATGGAATTTTTGTTTTCGTTTTGATAATTTTATTTTGCTGATAGTACAAAACCAAGCAGGTAAGCACCAAAACAGTTACAGGCAGAGTGCACATTGCTTTAAAACAGCATTAAGGCTGCAAAATCTAGGAGCGAAAGGTTAGGAAACCTGGCATTAACATTGGCAACTCTAATCTGGTTTTCTTCTGTACGTGTGGTATAACATAATCTGTGATTATTCACTGACGTGCAGGGTCTCTTCCTCTGCAGGGTCAAGGCTTTGTTTTGTTGTTTGCTATGGATGATGTTCAGGGGATGAATTTAGAACTGCATGGTTTGTGGGACTGTAGTTGTGAGGGCCCTTGCCTTTATTTGTAAATTGAAACAATCTAAGGAAGTGAAGAAAATAAAAGAACTGCAAAGGTATGCTCTATACTTCTTTGCTGTGGTGGTGATGTGTGGTATTGAGTAAATCATTTAAACCAAACTTTTTGAAGATATGATCCCCTGGTGCCTCAGCTTGAGACATCTGAGTTATAATCAAAGCTGCAATTGGAGTCAAAAGAAGTGATAAAAATGCTAGGTGTTCTGAAAAGGGAAGTCAGCAATGTGTTTTTATTGAGTCTCCTACTAATAAAATGGAGCAATAATTCAGTTGATATCACTGTGTGTTTTGAAGATAAGTTCATTAACATGTATAAAGCATGCAGTTACAAGAAACGCTCTGTTAATGGCAGACCTAAATGACAGGGTTGTTATTCTTTTCCTCCTTTGCCCACCCTGAAGTATACGTTCTTCACAAGAAGTAATGGCCCTCCTTGGTTGTGCTGTTCAAGTTGCTCATTGTCCCTAGCTGGAATCTTTGCAATGATCTCGGTTAGAAAAAACCTAACTACAGAAGTGAAGCCAAGAAGGCAGGAATGGGATTGGAGGTGGGCTGGGGATTGTAATCTCTCAACCTGGTCCACCACTGGTGACTAATTTATATAATTGCACTAAGGGGAAAATAAACGTTAATACAGCTGTTCATTGAACATCCTCTATTACATGTGCTGTACCACGGTGATGCAGTGAAAGAAATGGCTTTTTATGAGCTTTGTTACTTTCACTACATGAGCTGTCTAAATGGGCTGATGTGCCAGTGCTTGTACCATTGCACAGCTGGAAGATATGCAGGCAGGACTCTGCTAGAGTGTCTTTGGGAATCTTTCTCTTTCTGACCTCCACTGCCGTTTTTGTCTTCTGTAGCATTAATGATTTTCCCCAAAAGGTGGGTAAAGTTAGTCAGAACGTCTATAGGAACAGCATCTAATACTTGTATATAAACACAGTTATTATCCGGTAACTTAAAATACAGTTTTGATAAAAGTGTCTAAATGTTATTGCGCTTGAAATGTTATTACCTGGTAAAGCAGCTTCAAAGCAGCTGGTTATTTATGGTGTGCATGGTTTACAGTGACTCTTCAAAAATATTTATTATATGCAGTTTGGGACTTCTGGTATATTAATGGAACTGACTGACACTGTGCCACAAAGGCTTTTGTGCGGATGTGGTCAATATCATGCTTTGAGGTTATAATTTCTGAGACAGTAATGTCATTGCACTAGCTGGAAAACACCAAAAAGAAGTAAGGCAGCAAAGGCAAAATAGACAAAATTATTAGATGCTGGTTGGGGATATAAAAAAAAGAAATTCTGAGGAGAAAAAGCATCTTTGGCACTCACCAGAAAGAGCAGATACATTGGCAGAAGATATATAATAATACAGTAAAAGGAGAGCACCCATTGAATTCTTAGGCAGGAAATGAGCTTTTCAGGGAAAGCTATTTTCAGGTTTGCTTGGATCATGCAAGCTTGGTGCAAGAATATATTTTTGGAAACTTCCTTCTGTGCCTTACAGAGTGAATTATTTGATTAAATGATTTCTTTGATCTGTTGGCAATTTTAGGAAGGCAGTGGCCCACAAGAAATATTTAAGTGGTGAGTTATACCTGAAATATATAGATTAATGTTACATCTCACTGTTCAAACTCTGTGGAAAATCCCATTGCATAGAGAAGGAAGTATACCGATATAAGACCTCGGCAGCATTTAATAACCAAGTCTTCAGAGAAGAATTTCATTGTAAGGCTCCAAACAGCTGACCATTCTGTATCATTGATGTATGTTTCTTTGAGGCAGATATGCTATATTATTCTAGCTTTATCTCCCACACTGCTTGAAGAGTACCCAGGGCTGACTTTGCGTTCACTTATGCAGACAGTGGGAACAATATATGTATGAAAGAACCAAGAGAATGTGTGATATTATTTCTGTATACGCTAATGAGATTTTTAATTAACCCTAGATAAAAATCTCTCTCTTCTGGTTTTAGCATCTCTCTTATGGCAATGGGAGCTTACATGTTGATGCGGCCTTCCAGCAAACGCTCTGGAGTGTAGCCCCAATCAGTTCAGGAAGTGAAGTTGCCCAAGGTAAGATTGACTCAACTTTAATTATTGAAAGATTGATTTTAAATGAAATACCTGAAAAATCCAACTATTCTGCCAAATGTGGTTGAAACATGGGAGTGTTTTTCTCTTATTGGAATGTTTAATCAACTAAATAAATATAAAAATGTTCTGAAAATGGAGAGAAAAATTATGCTGAAAGGCATCCTGATGATTTTTAACATCATTGTTTCTAAAGACTGAAAAGCTAATTCAAATCTCACTTTACTAAAGGTATGTTAATGTTTATAATGTTTTCTTAAACGGATTTAAGTCCTGATTTAAATTATTATCTCAGATTATTCTGATGTGTGGAGTCATGGTTACATGCTCCTGTGACTCACTGAGCAAAAAATGCTGTTTGGTATGTTGAAAAAATTCTGGTGCTTTAAGCAGCCCTCAGTATTTGGAAACTGAACTGTAAGACTGAACGTCTTTTTGCATCAGCACATTACTTCTTGGATAGCCATGAAATTAGGCCAAATGATGACTCTTTAAAAAAATGCAATAATCTTCAAAAAAAAAAAAAAGCTGACAAAACTTATTGAAAAAATTCCCGAAATTCCCTCAGGGTTTGAGCTGGGTGGAAATTTCTGAACACTTAGAGTTGAGGACTGCTGTGGCCTGGCAAGATGGGCATTGGATGTGAATGGGAAGCCTTTCTTTGCTCTGCTTTCAGGCATAGCCCACTGGTGGCCTGCCAAATGGGAGCGAGAAGGAGAAAGTTGAGCACCAGAATACAGAAAGCTTGGCTCCAAACTTGGGAGCTTGAGTGGACATTAAATTGGCATGAGGTGTCCGAGAAAGTAAAGACAAGAACTCAGTATGGGGGCAGAGAGAAAAAACTAAGACTGTAAATTGAGATAGGACTGGGGAAGGGGAGAACAATGCGTAATGAACAAGATGCCGAAGGCTCGGAGCTGGTGTGAGAAACTCCAGGGTGACTAGGGGCAAGTGGTAGGGGAATATGGTCTGCTCTCATGTGGACAGAGGGAATAGTGGGTTTACTCTCAGATTTGAGGAATGAAGAGGGGGATGGGAACAATGGAAGTGGGGAACTAGGCAGGAGTGCTCCTGCCAAACACGGAATGGAAGTCTTCCCTTCCTCTCCAGGCTCTTACCTGTTCCTAAAAACTGCACGCTCCATTCTGCTTGTCCTCCCACTGCTGGCAGTGCTGGTGTGCCATTCGTGTTAATCAGCCCAGTACAGGTTATTAGCTGAGGCTCAGGTTTGTGCTGTGCCACGTCTCCAGCTGGCAAACCTCATTAATGAGGCGTGCCTGGCTGGTTGGGAAGCAGAAATTCATGCTGATAGAACATAGAGGAGTGTTATCCATTCTTACCACAGCAGATCAAGGGAAAATAATATAATTTCAATGGTGGTGCATTTCTCTCCCACAGCATTTGCTTGTACTTTGTTGCTATAGCTTTCCATATTTCTTTTCTCAGGTATAGACATTTAACTTTTGTGAGCAGTACCTTTCCTAGAGAAGATCAACTGGATAGCGTCAGAAACAATTAGAGAAAAGACTCTATTTCAGCAAATCCAGCAAGTGCTACTGTAATCAAAGCTGTCTCATTGCGAAGGGAGAGTGATTTTGACACTTGGACAATTGTGTGTGACCTGTATACCTCAGTAAAACTGTAACCAAAGGAAAGATAAATTAACTCTAAATGGAGGAAGAGGAATATAAAGCTAAATTTAAATTTGTTAATATCTGCAAAATGATTTGAAGTCTTCATAGGCAAAGTATCAATGTATAGGAACACCTAATGTTAGAATGCCTGCTCTTAGTCAAAACTTTCCATTAGAAGTATAGCAATAAGAGTTTTCAGCTTTTTACTGTTCTATTTACATTTGTAGAAAGAGAAGGGAAGTTATCTTTGCAGGACTCTTGAAACACATCAGTTGAATAAAATGACTTTGAAATGAAAAAAATGGATAAATAATCCATAAAATGAGCTGGGATATCAAGGTAGTTTGTTAAAACAAAATGATTGTATTTTGTATGCATTTTTGCAAAATTGGCTTATGTAGAAGTCAATTAATTGTTTTAGTCAGAATGGAGCTTGAGGGCCAGGGCAAATAATTCTGCTAATTCTGTCTCGCAGATTTATATTGACATGGCTCCATATATAAATCTATATACGTTAACTAAAATGTCCCTCTGCATCAAAATGAAGAAGAATTTAAAGGTGAAAAATTCAAATCTAAAATTAGCCACATAAACCATTATCTGATATGATTTCAAAGGTTTGAAAACAAGTTTTTCCTGAATATACAGTAGCATCAAAATAAAACCCATGAAATGTGTATAGTCTGCATGTTGGGTGTTTAACACCAACTCTCTCTCTCTCTCTCTCTCTCTCTCTCTCTCTCTTTCTCGATCTGCTCTTATTGCACAGCACTACTTGCTAATAATATAGACATAGCTTCAGACTACTATTCTAACAGTATTTTTAAAAAAGAATTTTGATAAAACAAAACCTGTACCGTTATCTTTATACAACCAAGGAATTATGTTCTCACATCCTGCTCAAAAGAGGAATTTGATACTAACTGATTCTAGCAAGAAGGAGGGAGTTTAGGAATTATGTTTGGGTACTTTAAACACTCGTTTAGCTTGTCAGACTAAAAAAAAAACCATTGACTTGCACTGAAAGTCTACCAGGTGGTAATACTCTTAAATGACTATATTATAAAGCAGTACAGGTAGGAAAGCACAAAATTCAATTTCTTTTTAATATCACATCTCTGTTGCAAAGAGGCTGATGCAAAATTGATGTTGCTATTTTTACTGATTAGAATTGTAGACTTATTTTCAGCTTCCATCTGCAGTGTCCTGGTTCCCAAATACTGTGAAACTACGGGTATGTTCTATCCCTTTGTTTATGGACATGAATTTTATTTGTACATAAACTAGAATCCTTAACTTCTAAAATAAAAAACAAAACTGAGTAGGTGAGATGGAAGAGAAATAAGAAGCATCTCCTTTGTAACTTGGGAAGCAAGTACTTGCTTCCTGGTTTCAGATGGATCGGTCTTTTTCTGAGTTGCACAAACTCTGCAGTCCCCTCTGGTTACCATGAAATATCCATCCTGTCTCCTCTGCAGACTGGCTGAAGGTGTGCTTTCTGCTCCTCTCAGCTCTTGTCTGCAGCTCTTTCTCCCTTTTCCTACTTGCTGACTTGAAGCTCATCTCCCTTGGCCACGGTCAGCTGGCTCCCCTGGGGAACGAGCCGTCTCCCTCTTCCGCTCTAGGCTCCCACCTGACACAATGGCTCTCTCTTTATGGCAACATAAAGCACCAACAGAAAACAATTAAATAAATTTGATACTTTTTATTACAGTGTGAACTGTAATTTTGGATGTTGCTTTGCTCAGACAAATACACTTCATTTTCTCCCTTCTTTCAAGGCTATCTGATAGGAGGGGATGTTCTGCGGTTATTGCATGGTCACATGGATGAATGCTTGACAGTCCCTTCTGGCGAACACGGAGAAGAACAAAGAAGGTAGATTTTCTGGTTTAGAATAGTGTAATAATGAATTTTATGGAATCAGTTTTGAAGGATGTTGTGATGAGCTATATCTCTCGTAACAGAGAATGTCGCTGAGATCAACTTTGGACATGAGGCTCTTTTGCACTTTCCTTTTGGTATTGCTTCAGTCTGCTTTCACTTACAGCTATAAAAGCAGTAGTACGTACTGGAAGTGGACTTGGTCCAGCAACATGAAACAAAATGCACTGAGTTTTTGGGGACACTGAACAAAATTGAATTGAATCATTTTTTTTCCCTTTTTTTCTTAGCTTAAAATCAAATCTAGAAGCAAAAGCTCCTCCATCCTTTTCATCTGTTATGCTAACGGTTGGTTTGTTGTGATAGCAAACACAAAATGGCAGGTTAACCCTATTATTACGGTTATGATTTTATTACAACAGATTATCATATTTACTGTTTGTTTTTATTCTTGATGATTTATTAATTTTATGCTTTTATTGTTATACATCTTATTGTGATTTTTGGTAACTTATGGTCATCTTTACTGACTAAAAACAGTGAAGGAAAAGTATTAGTTTCTTTACTGCTGTTTTTTCTGTTATCATATGTAATACTTCAGAAGATGGTATGTTAAGATTACTACCAAGTCCTTCAAGGCTACTGATCAGGGTTATTAATCTCAGGTGTACCTGACATGGGAGTCTAGGACTAAATTTATGGTTATTTTCATGATTGAAGGAATCCTGGAATGGAAGTAGAAAAGTTATGTGGCAGCTCAGGTTGTATGTTTTCCCTCTCAGTTAGCTAATAAATCCGAAAGAGTGGTAAGAGTGGCACTGAAAGCGGCGTGTCTCAGTGGAGCCGCTACAGGGGTGAATACAATATAGAATAAAATCAAAATCCTGTTTGCTTGCTCTAATGAAATATACCCCAAGCCTTTTTTTCAGTAAGGCTTTAATGGAAGTGTCAGATCATTTATTTCTACCTTCAACTTGAAAATAGTTACATGATAATGTTGATTTTTGGAATACTTTGTTTATTTTGGCATGTGGATGTCTGAATTTCCATGGCAAGGAAAGTGCTATTCATTGATTTCCATGTTGAATTTTCTCAGTTTGCAAATCAAAATATATTTTCGTTCTATGCATTTTAAAGAGAGAAGGCACTCATAAAATATATAGATAGTAAAATTCTTTTATGAATTTGTAAATATTAATGAAAGAAACTTCAGCTGTTTCACTTGAAAGGTGGTGGTGTTTTTTGTACAGCTGTCATCGCTTCCTGACTGTCTCATTTCTGGTCTAGGGAAGCATTTTTAAACATAGAAGCTATTTCAAAATGCAGAAGACTTAAAATATTTTAATTTTAGTTACTACATAATAGAATCGTTAGATCTTGGAATTTATTGCTGCTATTACTATCCTCACCTTGAAAGTGACACTGAGATGATAAACGATAAGACGATAAATAAAAAGTATTCTACCAGTGTGTTTTCTCATATTTCAGTTTAAATCCTGCGAAATTCCCATTAAATGCAGTGTAATTGCAGAACTGTAGGATGATCAAGCACTTCATTAATGAACTTTAGCATTTAAGAACACATTAAAAATCTGTCCATTTACAGCAAGCGTAGCATATAGAAACTGCAATAAAGGAGTATTAAGTTGCCGGGTAAGAAAAAAATTCATTTGATCACATGATGCATCTTCGTACAATGTCAGAAAGGGAAACAAAGAACAGGACTCATCTCTTACACTGCAGACCAATGCCTTAAAAAAAAAAAAAAACAGATGACTATTTTTCTTTCAGTGCAATTCTTTTTCCCTATTCATCCAGCAGAACTAGTAGACGACAAATAATATGTGATTAACAAATAGTATCTACTATATCTTTTTCTCTGTTGTTGTACATGAACAATAGCAAGGCACCTTCCTTCTCAGTGCTTCATAAGCACTGGATGTGATCCTTTGAAATTTTCCTGTAGTTGAGGAGCTTTATTTGACAGAATATGCATAAGCCTGATATTTTGTTTCATATTCTCCTTTTTTGAAGTTCTTCTATTGATTTTCTGCCAAATTAGTCTAATTTTTACTTATGAATCTAAAGTATAATCTAAGGTTATTTTTATGGGGTTAGGTATAACAACTGTGTGCCCCACATTTTTTCTTCTCTAAATTATTAATAAATCTAGCTATTTCTTAACAACTCTATACCTCTATATTTATTAGGATGATTCCCTAGTCAATCCAATGTCTAAAATGAGATTTTGTAGCTCTTACTTTCAGTTTTTGAGATGTGTGCATACCTTATTTTGATAGGTGGTATTTACCTGCTGGTAGAATTACATTTTAAAAATATGGGTAATTTTGACAGGTAGAAAACTGTAAGATCAATTGTTTTATCTTTCGCTTTTATCAGTTCCCTCACTTTTGCGCATAAGGCATGTTAAAGATATGATATATTTGGAGTATAATAATTCCAGATTCTTTTCACTGCCTTTTGAAATAGTCTGGGGGTAGATGCCTGTGGTTAGTGCCTGGATTGTTTTGTGTCAGCAGATGCCTGAAGAGCAGCACTGCTCTGCAGAATGACAGTGTAAAAGAGCGCTGAGAGGTTCCCCGTCTATTATGACTCACTAATTCCTGTATCTCATTTTCTTTTTCTGCCAGTACCTTCTCTTATGCGTTCTCAAATAAATAAAAGATCAGACAGTCCTAAAATAACAGTTTTATTCTGTACTGTCACCTGTTACCTACTGCTGGGAACGAATATGTTGTTTTGATGTGAAAGTTCCTCCTAGGCATTTTTTAAAAACAACCTCTCTCTTTCCAAATTTGTAGGGCATTGATACAGTTACATAAATGTGAGTATAACAGTATCCTAAAAAGTACCAAGAGTCCAAATAAAAATCACATGATGCCTGCTTAAGCCTATTAGCTTTTTAGGGCAGGGCAGTTTTTTATACTTTTGTGGAACAGCATTTAGCACAGGGGGGACCTGCAATACACTGACAGCGCTGTTACTGAGTACCAAAGAAAGCTTCCTCCAAGGCAAGGCCATCCAAATCCGTACTGGAAGAAGCCTAGGACAGTAGCAGAAATAATCCTATAAAAAGCTGATACAATTCTCGCCCACGTCTCACAATTTGTTCTGAATGTATGCTGCATCTCCTCACTTAATTGCTGACTCTTGTGTCCCTCTGTGTGGTGGTCCTTGAGAAACTGTGCTGCCGTGATCACTGGAAGGGAGGGTAGAATTGCTGTGTTTTTTGGAAGAGTGACTTGGATTTTGAGTGGTAAGATGCAACTGCGCAACTGGCACTAGAAAAACAGCAGTGTTGAAAGCCATCTTTTGCCATAGGCCAAAGTCGGTACTTGCCATAGACGAGAGACTGGCGAGGAGGGAGATTTTGCTCGCTCTCTCCGAGGGCTGAGATGCAGAGCCCACTGCAGGCCTGCGCTGGTTGGCTGCAGCGTTACTGCTCGTGTGCTCAGCCCACCCTGTCTTGGCCTCTGGTTGCGCCACCTCCTTTCTGGAAGAAGGGAGAACCGCTGAGGGGTTGTGGGCTGCTCTAGCAGCCTGTCCTTCCTTGCCTCCTGCCTCTTCCAGGCTGCAGCACTGTGTTGTCTCGGCAGTGCACACGTTTTGCCTTGGCAGAAGGAGGTGCACAACGGGCCAAGCATGCAGGTGAGGTGCCCTGGCTGCTCCATGGGGCAGTTAAACTTCCAGCAAAGGTGGGACATTTTTGAAAAGATTCACCCTGAACTTGCCAGACTTAGTTTGGTCTGTAATTTAAAAAAAAAAAAAAAAAAATCGGTTGGAAGCAGTGCAAATAGGGAAGTTGATGTGATGATATGTTGGTTTAAATAATATTATACCAGAAAAAAAAAGTGGTATTGTTTTTAAAACATCACAGGCAGTCTGGGCCTGACCCTAGTAGTTATCATTCACTCTGACCCTACAGACAGAAGAAAAGAACAGAGATAATATTAGTTTGTGAAATTTCATTGAATTAAATATGTCTTACGGCACATTCTACTGACGTGTATACTTGCTTGTGTATATGGGGTATGGGACAGACCTGCAAGGTTTTTCTTAATTTGTGTATTTTTCCTTGAAATGAAACCATTGCTTAGTTTCCTTTCCCACCAGTTTCCTGCTGTTTTGCACATGATCAATTTGTTAACTGCTTTGAATACATTTTTTGAAGAATTGTATACAATTATCTGGCAGAAGATTTAAATCACTGTTTGGATGAAAGGTAGCTTGAAATGATATTTGCTTTCATCTGGCATTTTTCCTCTTGACACAGTGACGCTTTAATTTCTTATCCTCCTTTGCTGAGTATAGCTTTGAGTCTTCACTTGTGCATTTATAACATCAAGGGAATGAATAAAATTTTTGTATTTATGTTGGCAGTTGGTATTTAGAGCAGGTGTGCACTGAAGTGCTTCTGTGAAATTGCTTACTATTGTTTCTCACTTTAATTAAAAAATTGTGCAAGTTAATACTCTCCCAAAATTCAGGCTTTGCAAGAAAGATTTAAAAAGTCATGTTATATGTGAACTATTTTCCGCACAGTATTGGGTCGGTCAACATTTGCCCCTTTTTTACTGTTCAATTAAATAGGAATTATTTTACAGTTTTCAGGTTGTTGCAGAATGCATATAATTTTTATTTTCCTGTAAAAATGTTATCTAGTTATTAATACATTACTTTACTGTAGAGTTTGGATTGTTTTTACATTTTTTTCCTTAAAAGCCCCCAAAAAACTAATGGCGGAACGCCCCTGAAGTCCCCTGATGTAGGAGTATGTAACTGTTTTTTTTTTAATTGGACTGTGATGTTTGCTCCTTATTATACCATCATTCATATTCTTTTAGAGCTTAAAGTCCACACAGGAGTAGAGCTGTGAGTATTAACAGTTCTGAGGGTAGGGGCTATTGCAATTCGTTTGCATCTTGATTTGCAATGCATGTGTTAAAGCAATGGCTGCTGTGGAATTTGGATCCTTTCAATCCGTTCAGAAATATATTGTTACAGAAAGAAATTACCTGTGAGAGAGCATGGTGCTCCTGGCTTTTCCAAACTATCACTTGAGATGGAATAGACTGCAGTGTGTCAAAAGGCCAAAACATCCAGTAAGAAGAGCCCTTCATGAAGGAGTATTATAGGAATAGCCTAATTTCCAGAGACACTTGTGTCGTTCTTGCCTTTGACAGTTGCTTTGGGTTAAGGATACTGCATTAAGGAAACGTTAAGGACAAAAGCCAGGACAAGGTTGCTAGAGCCGTGTCTGGTTAGGAATTTGTAAATTATATTGAATGATTGTATTATTTACAAATTGGGTTACAGGTATATTTACAAATTGTATTATTTTGTACTAGTCTCAGAAATGGATAAACAAAGTTTAGAGCGATGAAAATCATAACTTCCCAGCTCTTTTGCGCTGATTGTGGAAGTCATGCCATTTTCTTTAGAATGTTAGCATATATTCTTAGATCAGGCATTACTAACTAGTGGGGTCTATTATATCCAGGTAAGACAAGAATCTCACATGTGAAAATGATTATTTATGACTGAAGCATGAGCTCAGAAAGTTTTCACCTAGGGGAGAACATTAAAACAAAAAAACAAACAAAACAAACCAGCCAATGAGCCTGAACAGTAGTAACTATACTTTTATAAATAAATTTGAAAAATTCATAGAGTTCTTTACTGGTTTCTCATATAACTGGGTTTCAAATTAAACAGCTTTGCCTGTCATTGAAGTGAATGGAACAATTTCTTTAAAGAGAATACGCAGCAGATTAGGACAGAACAAATAAATGAATTGCTTTATAGTACTGGCATTTACAATATATTTTGGATACCTTAATTTAAAATAGATTTGAAGTAGATCACTGAGATTACCCTTTGAATTTTGTATAGAGTTTCCTGGAAAATATAGGAGATGCTCACTGTAAGAATGAATTGAGAGCTTTGTATCTATTTTTATTATGGCCAAGGTAAAGGGTATCTTGAACCGTCTAGGTGAAGAGGAGGGCTAACTGTAGCTCTTGTTGATATCTTAGGTTTTTTGCTGTTCATTATTCTTTCTTCATGCATTTACATTATTTGCAGTTGCATAAGAAGTTTCTGTAAATTGCAAATTTTCTCTGCTGTTTTGCAAGTAATGTACATCTTTCCTAAACATTTTAACTTGCAAGGCTATTTTCTCCATCTTGTCAGTGTGAATCTATAGTAACTCCTTGATAACCAAAAAGCATTGTTGTAGGTATTCGACATGTCATTAAAAGCCCTGTTTTATTTGACCTAGCAATATCAGTATCTTTTAAAGATTACTAGTGTCTGTTTCAGGAAGGATTAAAAAGTTATGAACCATAGTTCTTTCTGGGCACTGAACTGTTGTCAATACTATATAAAAAGAAATGAGCCATAGCCTATGAATAATGTTTTCGTACAGAGCAAATACTAAGGATGTTGGTTTGAGCAATTTCAGAGCAGTTTATTATCTTCATTACAATGAAAGGAGTTAAAAATGAACTTTTGATTTCTTAGACAAAGTGAAAAGGTACATGATGGGATACGAATTTACTCAGCTCCTCTGGGGTGATGATTAGTATATATGCTGCTATCTTGTGGTAAGAGCATGGTGATTCGCCCTTCAATACAGAAGAGGTGAGAGATCATTTATTGGAAGCTTCCTTTTCTTTACCACATTGTCCATAGAGAAGAGAGAGTCTAGCTAAAGGCCCAACCCTGTTCTCGGGCCAGCCTGATTTTCATCGTATGCATATTCTGGCCTGCCCTTCCAAAATCGTGCTGCCCCATCCTTGGCCCCAACCTCTGGGCTTCTGCTTTTGTTTCCTAGCTGGTCATCCTATGACTGCTTTTCCTGAAGCCTTGCTACTACTCCCTTGCTGACTCTTATCCCCAAAGTGCTGTCACTGTTTTTCACCTTTGCTCCCTCTGCTCCTGTCATATCCATTCATAGGGAAATGAGAGAGACAATCTTAGGATCCTTTTTTTTTTTTTTTTCCTTTGGCAAAAAAAAAAAAGAAGCACATTTGTGTTTAGGATTTCTTCCTTTCTAGGTCTTTCGCAAACTTCTCTCTGACATGATCAAAGACTGGTAACTCCTCTTTGAAGGAACAGAGAGGTGAAATAAGGGATGTACAGTGACATAACAGAAAGCAACTTCGTCCATGAGAAACTATTCTTTTAAGTTCACAATGGGAATATTTTTAAATGTTTAAAGTTGCACTGATCCAACTGCTACATATCATCCAAAGCTAGCCTCAAAAAAGTAGTCAAACTGAGAAACAGGTAACAGCTTCGAGGTTTCCAATGTGAAAAAGAATTTTATTCCTGGAAGGTGACAAGGCACCAATTTAAAAATAAAACATTCTGATTAATTTAAGCCTTTGCTTCCACCTGATTTGTTACATATTTTTAACGACTTGAGACCTGCTGAATAAAAATGTACAATTTTGTATTGTATGAATGCAAGAATTTCAAGTGCATTTTTGTCAGCTAGCTTCATACTGAAATAAGCCGGGATGTAATCAATCAGAATGTTTTGACTTCAAAACAAAGTGTGATATCTAATCGGTTATTGTTTAGGTGTTACAACAGCAACCCAATCTGTTAGTTGCAGAACAAGAATTTAAACAAATGTCTGAATAGAAGAGGGACTGTGTGAATAGAGCAGTAGCTTGAGTACAAGATCGTTTATCATTTGCATTTCACTGTACTAATGAAAGCTAATTTCAGCGAAAAATAGGATTTAAGTTGAATTTTGATTTGTGAGAGAAAATACAAGAGGCTTACTAACGCTTGTCAGCTGCTCCTACCACTGTAGGCTGTTGCAGCAAATGACTCAGATAGTAAGTGGAGAAAATATGAGATTTAGAGTAAAGGATCACAAGGACAAGGGGAGAATTTCGTGCAGGTTTGTAACTTCTTTTCTGGTAGGTGAAGCACATGTCAGTGGTCCTGTTTATGCATGGGTCATGAATATCCAGTGTGACTGATTCTGCAAATGTAGTGAGGAATGATTTTTTTTGTATTTTGAATTTTTTTTCCCCATATAATTCAAGTCCTCATTCATTTGCAACGTCTGGGAGTATGGTGTGTGGTTTTTTTTTTAACCGTGTCCTTTTTTCTCTCTGTCTTTGCCCAGCATTGATACCTTTTAGTGACTTCCAAAATGAGTTCTAGCACATTTATAGTTTTATGTATTATTATCAATATTGAGACATCAATAGTCTAACTCACTTTTTCTTTTGGGTTTGAACCATCTCAATGTGGAGTTTTATTCCATGCTAAGCATCAATTCCTCTGGATTACATACACAGAACGACTTTGGAAGCAAAACCCTAATAGGTTCCTACCTAGACACTTGACTCCAAAATTATGGTCCTCAAAAAATGGCTTAAAATTAACCACGGGAGCTGCCTATAATTTCAATATTAATGATCCTACCTACTTAAAGGTATACCTCTGGGCGTGTCTACAAGTGCTTGATCTTGACTGAAGATCACAGCATTTACTTCATCCGTAAGCTCTTCCAGGATCCATAAACTCTGCCATCCTCTGGCAGCATTCTTTGAAGGGCTCATGTGGCTAGCGTAGTGACAGCACTCCTTTGCACAAGTGACTCTTTCCTTCATTTTCCCAAACGAGAGGCCTAGGTCTGTAAAATCTGGAAGTGGCTTAGGGCTGGAGGTGGGCGCAATTGCAGTCGACAGAAAGGTTCCCTAAATCTAGGGGAGTGGCACTGATTAATACTCACCACGCTCCTCTGGGTGTGCTTTGAAAAGAATGTGATTCAGGGCTTTGGCCATGTCTCTAAGCCGTTTTGTGGATCTGAATGGATCTAATGTATATGGCATGGTCTAAGTTTAGAATAATGGAAAAAATCAGTTTTTGAGACTTGGGGGTTTTTTTTTAGAAGCACTCTGATTTCTGGATATATGCAAGGAACAAGAACGGATAATTGAATATTAAAATTTGGAAGTAGGAAACTGTAACGCCTGAGATGTCTGAAAATATATATGTGGTTTGGTGCTATGATGAGGTAATAAAATGCAATAACAAATAGGTGAATGTTCAGTGTAATAATAATTCAGTGTAAGAAATTGGTTGAGTTATTTTTATAATGCAAGCTCTAGGAAAACGCTGCCTTTCTTGTAAGTGGGATGCAGTCATCACAAATGTTTATGCTCATTCGATGTTTATTTACTGTTAACCCTAGAAATACTCTAATCATCAAGTTTTTCTTCTGTCCTCAAAGCTCTGTCCTTAAAAGCAGTACAAGAAAGATGCCTAAGAGAAAAATGCCATATCACAACAATAGATGCAAAAGACAATTAAAATAGAATTAGAGTAATTAGATCTGAAGGTTTAATTGAAAAGAACAGGTATTGAATATGATAACTGTAGGAATCTGACAGTTACAATAACTGCTTTGGCTCTCTTCAAATGAGAAATGCGGTTAAACAAATGTGAGGAATACTTACTTATGACAGAGCTGAACGTTCAGTATGTACCTTTGCTTGATTTTTCAGAACTGTCCATTATGAAGGTGGTGCTGTGTCAATTCACGCCCGTTCCCTTTGGAGACTAGAGACTCTAAGAGTTGCGTAAGTAAAATCTCTCTCAGAAAAGACATCAGTTTGGTTGGGGACTTTTGGTACAAAACCAGCGTTCTGTAAAACCAGATTTGATAATACTGAATCTTCTGCAAAAAAGCGCTTTATGTCACTTTCAGGAAAAATTAAACAGCTCCCTTCCCACAGAGAATTTGTGTCAATATTCTAATTTATGTATGTGTTTTGGTTTTTTTGAAGTTTCCTCAAGTTACTAGAGCTACCAGTGAATTGACTCTTTACCCTTTTTACACACATATGTGACATATTGTAATCAGAACTGGTTTTCTTAAATAACTTACACGTGCCCTCTAACTTATTCAAGCTATTTGGATGTATTGAAAGGTAAAATTTTACCGAAAGAATCTTACCTCGCGAGGGCACTGGCACGATAGCTAGGAATCGTGCTGTGATTGTGACTGTAATGATCCAGAACGCACTGTAAAATTTCAGTTAAATTTTACTACAAATATATGTTTGTCACAAAATTTCTAGTGACCAAAAGACGTTTGCTTTTAGACATTAGATCATGGCAACTGAGGTTACACTAGTGATTCTGTTCTCTGTGAGCACATTTTATTTGATGGAGTGATGCTAATGATGCTAAATGTCATTGATAGGACAGTGGGGAGGGTTTTTTTTCTTTTTTTTTTTTTTTGCTTGGCCTAAAATTGACCTTGAGAGTGCTTAAGTCACTTGACAGCAGTGAAACTGTAGATGGATCTCTGGCTCTTTATTTTTCTCATTGCGCATCCTCCCCTAAAAAACAGTGGCACTGGAACAATGTGGGGATTTGAGAAATGACAGGTTTCTATTAAGGCTAACATGTATCTCAGCTTCATAACCACTGTATACACGCTTTTAAAGTGTAAACTTTTGAACATATGACTGAAGAAAACTGTGAGAACTGGTAAAACAACTAAGCAATGGTAATGGTAATCTTCCTTTCTAAGCAGTGTAATTTCTGGAAAAAAACAAAATGGATCCCAAATAAAACCCTCTCTCTGTCAAGCCCTTCACCTCTCTGCTCCTGTGTGTTATTCTAATAACTGTATTTCTCCATTGCCAAATTGCAGCTGCATTATTATTCATGCAAATATTTCAATGTATAATGTAATGTCTCCCTGCCTGAAGTACTCCATCAATTCTAGTCCTTCCCAAAAGACTTCAAGTACAATATTCTTTTCATTTGATGTGATTCTGCTGGAGTCGCTGTGTCGGGACTTTCCCCACTAGTGGAGAACCCCCTGAGGCATAGCCTTCCACACAAATTGTCTAGGCAGTTGATATGCATGTTCACCCTGCCTGTTGGGAAGGCCTGCCGTGGAATACCTGATACCGTCGCTTAGCACTGTTTTCTTTCTCAGAAGGTGACAGGGAACCTATATACATATCGTAGGAAAGAATTTTTAGTTGGAAATGGCCTTACAGGATACTTTCTGCTCAAAAGACTTTTGTTATAAGGGCATGTTTTGACCTTTTTCCTGTGCTGTGGGGATGAACTAGGAGCATGACTCAGTCACACTACACTTAACTATTTTCTGTGCGGTAGGGTCCAAGAGAAGCAGACTACTAGGGCCAGGTGGAGTAGACTATTAATTGAATCAGATTAGAGGAAAGGCGAATCGTTGCATGGCCTGTAATATGAAAGGTGCAGGACTGATGTATTTTGCTAGAGCCAGCAATATAATAGCTGAGATTCGTGACATGACATCTTAGTTGAATAACAGAAGAATTTATGCTAGAACACCAATAACTTAGATGTGCTTTTCTGGAGTATACTGACTTCACTGTGTAGAAGACATAATGGAAAAAAGAAGTGCATTGCTAAGATGTAAAGCTTCCGTGTTTCCTTCCTCTCGTAAGTTGCTCCCCCTGCCACTTTGTTGTAACAGAAGGGAATATTTCATTTAAAAATGAAAATAGTTAAGGGAAAAAAACCCTGCATGCCTTTGTTTATTGTTTAAAAAACAATAACTAAAAAGCTTTAGAAGTTTGATTAGTGAAGTGTACTAAATCTTACTACAAAAGAGAAGCCAGTTATTGCTCTTCCATTTTAAAAACATCTATCAAATTGGTATTGCATACTTTGCATACAGTATTGCTAACCCTTAAGAAGAAGTGGTTAAACAAGTGAATATTAGTATTGAACGCGTAAGTTCTTTAGTCTGCTGCACATATTTGATTGGGAAAATGAAAATGATTTAAACCTGTGTAACATGTTCATTTGAGTCATTTTCAGACTTGTACATGAATATATATGAAGCATAATGGTAAAAGGTTTTTGTTTTTAAAGCTTTTGCCTGGAATCATTTTAAATGCGAGTGAAAAGACGCACTAATAAACAATTCTGATGTGAGAATGAGTTTATAATCGTATTCAGTTGAAAGGAATATGTTTGTATATTTCATTGATATTATCTGAACATTTGCTGATTTGAACGTTTGCTATTTCAAGCCACAGTAGGAGTAGAGAATTATTATTATAATTTGTGGAAGCACCTGAGAACCTCAGCAGTATGCCATAAACCCCATTATGCTGAGCATTTTGGAAACAGAGTAAAAAAGAGCATGTACATATTTCTGAAGTGCAAACTTTTGAAGACATATTACTACAGAAAGTTTTGTGAAGAACCAGCGAAACTTCTTAGGCCTGGCAGTTTTCCTGTCTAAGGAAAATTGAAGAACCCTTCTGGGAAAGCTATGTGAAATGTACCCTTTTTAGTCATCTCTACACAGCTGTGTCTTCAAGAGTTAATCAGGAAGGTCAGAAGAACTGACTTTTCCAGGGCTCAGTTTGAGACAAGAAGTTAAAAACTTACAGTTTCTATATTTTGGCTTGAGGAGCTTTTGGGAAGATTAGATGGGGAATTTCTGCTTTTCTTCTTTCGGTTCCTCCCCTGGAGTATGAAGAATCTGCCTAATTGTTTTTAAAATTATTTTGTGAATCGTCTATGTAAAATGTGCAGAGTGCTACAAGAGGAGAGTAACTGAGCCTGGCAGCTGGTAGACGAAATGTTGGAGAGGGAACTGGCTGGCCTAAGCTCCCGTTGTGTAGCGCAAGTCTCCTTTTCTGTGGGCAGTCTGTTTCCTCGCCCAAGAGGAATTCAGCTTGAACCATGGCAGCCTCTGTAAAGGAAGAGGTTTAGATTAGTCATGGCTTTTGGAGTGGTTTTATATGAGATAACCACACTGTAGTCATTTTTCTGCTGATAATCTGAAGTTTAGAATTTGATAATGGGTGGAAACTATTCAAATTAGTTGGCAGTATAATGTACTTTTCAATATTTTTTTGCTAACAGTTAAAATGGAGATGTTTGTTTTGTTAAAGACTTTTTTCTTTGAACTTTCTTAGGTGGAGTGGCAGCCACATTAGATGGGGACAGCCATTCAGACTAAGACATATAACGACAGGGAAATATTTAAGCCTCCTGGATGACAAGAGTCTTCTTCTTACAGACAAAGAGAAAGCAGATGTAAAATCTACAGCATTCTGTTTTCGGTCTTCCAAGGTATGGAATCAGTGCAGCATTAATTTTACTAATAATGCTCACATTCTCTTTGATACACAAGATTTTGATATTTCCTATTGTATTAATTATTGGAGCCTTTCTACCTTTTTGCTGGTTTAAAAAAAATAATTCAGTATAATTAGTATCTAGAAAAGCTTTTTTTATCATATTTGTTGGGTAGTGTGGCCTGGCTGGTTGTTTTTTACTGCTTGTCCGCTTTTAAAGTCTCCTGGTTTCTTACTTGTTTTTCTGATGAACTTCACTAGTACTTCAGTGCTTTATTTGTGTTGGCTGAGATAGGAAGCAGCTATAATATTGCAAGTTCTTTAATTAAAGTAGAGAATCAAGACTTTTTTTAATTGGATGCTTCACTGCACTCTAATTTACAGTTACCATAGTTTGAATTATACTCTAAGCATTTTCATCTGACGCTTTCAGTAAGCACTTCAAGTTAAGTAGTATACTTGGTATAGTGGGTGAACAGTTTAAAATAATACTATGATAAATTCTGTAATAAACTTTGATAACTGATACTTTTCAACCGCAGAATGATATTGCTGAAAATTATCCCATAGTAGTATTTTTCATATTAATTTTTTAAAATATATAATAGTAAACAGAACAATAAATGTTTCAATAACTTTTCTGTAGCAATTACTTTATGTATTTTTAATTATTTCCATTGTACACTTGCTGTGATAAATAATGACTGTGTGGCTGGAAGCAGCTGTATAGACTTGTACACTCTGGAAAATGAAGACATTAGGTCACGTGACTGTTGTTTGGAGACCTAGACAATGTCTTTTTTTTTTTTTTTTTAACAGTTAGAAATGCCTTGGAAATACTTAAAAATATCAGGACAATACAACACAAATGTATTGGGGAGTTCCTGTTGCAGTTGATATATATCTCAGTTTATTTCTTCTTGAAGCAAATGGGATAAGAGAATTGATACACTGATTCTTAAGAATGGAGTCTTCAGCTGAGGTTGCACCAGGGACAGTGGGAAAACATACTGTCCTCTACTGTCATATGGATAATTTAATACAAAAATATATGAAGACAAGAATTGTTAACGATACAGAGAGTATCAATAATCTGTTGTCAATATGGAAAAAGCCATTTGTCTCTATATTCTAAGTAGCATGTGCAAATTAGCATGTATTGGTGTTTTGGAGAGCCAGCAATAGTTTGTTTGAAGTTTCTTTCCTTGCTTTTTTCAACTTCAGTTTGGAAGTCTTATTTGAAGGTATTTTGCGGATTTTGTTCTACCATGAAAATAGTGTCCAAATTTTTTGATTTAGCTATTTAAGAGAACAAACCTACTATATGCTGAGAAGAGCAGAGATAAAAGGTTATGGGGCAGATCAGCATGTAGAAGGGCAATCAATTCTTGAAGTAACATGTAACCAGTTCTTGATTCAAATAGTAATCAGTTCTTGAAGTAACATGTCACAGATGATGAGAAAATAATCTTACTGATATTCAAATATGGATTTCTAAGGAAAATGGCAGTTTGGAAGATCACATTTGATGTTAGCTTTGTGGATATCAGCCTTCATTTTAACTGAAGACTCACTTGGGAGGAATTACGGAGAGACCACGGGGTATCTGGTTTGCATTTCATTGCAGAGAATGAATCCAATTTGCTACTTGTTACAGGAGTGTCATATTTCACTGTGAAAAAGACAGTAAATAACGGATTTACTAGGATAAAGACATAAAAAATTTTAAGTGCCTTCCCTGTCTGGCAAAGACTGTTAAATAAATATGGCAAAATAATAGCTGTCCTAGAAAGACTTTGGTATGTGAGATAAGCAACTTTAGGAGTCTCTCTTCCTCCAAGCACATATGGAAAAGCGATCTAACCTCTTAGTGGTGGTGTTCAATGTAGTTGTCCAAAATGATTATGCCTGGGGAAGAGGGAGCCCCCAGTCTTCTCTGTAAAAGACTGAGCATTAATAGTGGGAGTATGTCAGAACAGTAGCTAGACCTTTCCTTAGGTTACAGCAATTTCATTCCCTTTCCCCATAATCATAATTCTTCCTTTCATTACCTTAAAAGTACATAGAGATCCCACTTGTACTATAAATAAGTTAGTTTTAAGGAGGAAAAAACAGATAGGGGAAAGAATACCCTTATTTGCACTGTTCCTAATTTGAATTCACGCTTAAAGACTCAGTTCCTTGAGGCATGTGAGTAGATGAGAATTTCAGTTTCCAATTAGGAAAAAAAAACAGCGTTCATGTTTGCAGAGAAAATACTGAAAATGTATCTCCTGTGTAATGTGAAGATTTAGAAGCAAATTTAAATGCTCAGTGTTTATTGTAGTTTTTAACCTCAATATTTGCAAGGACTTCACTCATTTTAAACACAGTAGTTTTGCAGTACTGCATTTAAAATTTAAGTGTGAGAAAACGAAAATGCTTCCATGTTCGATCAAATGGCATTTGTGAACCAAAATAATTTTCTCAGAGGCTGAAAGTGAAAAGTGTGCCAGTATTTGTGTGTATGTGTGTATATCTATTTATACACACGTATGTATAGACAAAAATGTATATATATCAAAAACTTTTTACATGAATGAATTATAATTTATATGCATATTATTTTAATTCTATATTATATTTTTATATGAATGAATTACAGATACCTGCTTTTACATAGTAAAATCTTTAAATTTCTCAGCACAATAAAGAAATGTGAAAGCTTAAAAAAACCACAAGCCAAACAGTCCTCAGAAAGTGTTGATATTCTGAAGAGCTAGCAGTATCTTCATTATTTTGTGCAAGTTGTGTTTTATGCCTTCGTTATTATATGTTACCCCAGTAACTGTCATTGCATCAGAATTATATTAAGCTTTCAAGCATTTGAAATTCAGGAGTTTTTTTTTTTTTTTTTTCCTTCCTCATTCTCTCTCTCCATTCAGCTCAAGATGTCTGCAGATATCTATAGTTTGTTCCTCAGACCATATGTTTCATATATAGATTCAGTTTTGGTAGTGATTCGGTTCTGTAAATTTTTTTTTCTTTTCTACTTGTTTAATATTTATGCTTCTTTTTGATAAAAAGCATTACTTCAGTAGCATTCTTCCACTGCAAGAAAGTAGTTTTCTTCAATTTAAAAATGTTTATACATTCCCTGTAAAGTAAATCTAGTCCCTATAAAGTCTATAAAGTCTTTTTAAAATAATGAAATAAATGGAATAAAATTGCATGGCCTTTATCTTTTTATCTCTATTTGACACCTAATAAAATTTCCCTGGAAATATGTTGATGTCACCTTAAAAAAAAAAAAAAAAAAACAGCTGTAGCTTTTTCCATTCAGTGAGATCTGCTAAAATGTCAGTGCTGAAGTGCACCACAGAAAGTATAGGTTGGGTCAGGTGACAAGAGACAGAATTGAAAGAAAAAGACTTAATCATGGGAATGATTTTTGAATGTTGTAAGGAATGACAGAGAAACATTAGAGTGAAATAATACCTTCTAAGGCTAGGCTTGAGAGAAGAGTTACCTTCACCATTAAGATAAAATCATATGAAACAATTTCGTCTGTTTAGCCCACATAAAAATATGGAAAGTTGGTCTATATTCCTGTATGCCTGGAATAAAAGCTGTGTTTATAATGAGGATTTCCTTATGGAGAGAATTCTGCATATTGTGCAATAAAATTGTTTCCAGTTGCTTTACATCACTAAAGTGGTTTAAGGACTTGCAAATAACAGTTGTTTCTGTTTCTTATGTTCTAGTTTATTGAATGAAGAATATAGATTTTTGATCTTTATCTGTCTAGAAAAAAATGACGTTTAGAGAATGTGACTAAGTTGAAATTATACCTGTAGCTTTTGTTTGTAAGTATGCTGTAGAAAAAAGTAGCAGATGGTTATGTAACAACAAGCTGTGAGAAGAGTGTAGTGGGCTGCAGTCTTGCAGCATGGAAGGTCTATACCAAAAGGCAGTTATTAAATTATGACATAATGATTTCAGATTTGTTACAGATCCTGATTTTCACTGATGAACTGTTTTATAGTAGATAATGAGACTGGCCCATTAGATGCACTCTTTCAACTCTCTGCTTGTTTATTGTCATGAATCCCGCAACCCGCTCAAATCTTCCCATTTATAAACAACTGCTTCCCATTTGCTCCCACAAGTAGTTCTGGTTCCCATTTGCTGCCACAAATTTTTTTCAATGTCTTGAGGCTCCCAGAAGAATGCTCCCATGCTTGCTGCCCTCGCACCATTGCTGAACTTTCCACTTTCTCATCTCTACTCAGATCAAACTTTTACTGTATGCTTTCCTAGCTGCTATGTTCATCTTGCAGGGGAAGGGGAAAAAAAAAAAGAGGGGGGCAAGGGGAGAATCTCTGTTTAAGAATGCTTCCTATAAGGAAGCAAAGAGTTATTAAAAAAAAAAAAATTCCTACAAGAGTTCAAGAGTTTAAGTGAAAGTGACTGAATTTGCTGCAAGTTCTAAACTTAACATGTAGAGTTGCCACGGTACTTGGGTTAGGGCGGAGATCTTGCTCGGCAAGTTGTTGGCACTGCACTTTCCATAAGTGAATTTAGCATTATACCTAATTGGATGGAGGTTGCAATATCCAACCCCTTTAAATCTCTGTTACAACTGGTAGATGTTAAAAAAAGTACAGAGTAATATTTTAAATTACTAATCCTATATGGTATTGAAAGACTTCTTTTTCTGAGAAAAGTTGTGAATTCACATATTCACATCTTAAGAAACTGGAAGAAAAAAAGAAAATACTACAGTGTAGAAGCACAGAAGACGTAATGCAGATAAATGCCTGTAGTTATGAAAATAATTCAGAAAATAGGAGCTTGAGATCAGCCTGTCATTTCTTCATATGCTAACAGGACCTAATTTGTTTTTTTCTTGTATCATTGTCTGCATGCAATTTCCGATTATAAGTAGCTTTTCAATTTCCAACCGTTATTACATTCAAGTTGTTTGTGTTAGCTTTTGAAAGAAGTGAATGAAACATGAAGAGAAATTATATGAACGACCTAATGAATTAACAGTGAAATAGAAACACACAATAGCTCAGTAATCAGCATCAGACATATTAATAAATCAGTTATTACCACATATCAGTGGACAAGTTTTTAACAAGAATTTAAGCACTTAAGGAATTCAGACATTTACAAGATAGTGAAATTACCATATATATCAAGAAGCAGTTTAATAAGCTGAATTGATGAATATATTATCTTGAGGAGCTTAATGTTATGAAAAGTAATAATAGGAATTCCACCTGAGTAATAACTTCTCTCTTTTTTCTCTTGTAAGTGCTTCAGAATACATTTGTAATTGTAGGTGGAAAAAAATATGGTTAAATGACATCTCCCTTTGCTTAAGAAATGCTTTTAGAATTATTTCAAAATTAGAAATTGTTTTCTGTTCATTTAACAAACACAATCTGTTGTCATCTTTTGCTGTGAAGCTGCAAATTATTATTTGCTGTGAAGCTCCCCGAATTATTGTACGTGTATTTTGTAATTTTTCCTAAATGTTTCCTTAATTAATCCTTAATTTTTCCTAAAGAGTGATTATAATAGGATAGAGCATCTGGGAGAAGTTTTTATTTGTGATATTACTCAGGAATTGAAGGAAGCGGCTTGTCCTATAATGCTGATCAGAAGAAGCTTTATAAGCTTTTGGTGCTTAGATGCTTTAGGTGCTTTTAAATGCTTTTGGTTAAGGAGATCATCTTGTGTAGCTTTATAAATCCTTTGTTCATGTATTAAACTGCTTCTTGAGTGTATGGCCTGAAATAGGCTTGCAATTTGCACTGATATTTGTCTGGACAGTGGTGAAAGCTAAGCAGTTTCTTCTTCTTGTGTAGGTTCTCGCATGTGCAAGAACCTATACAAGCAGCATACAGGGACTTAACTGCTCCACTGAGTCTGCCTTTCCTGATGATACTGGGGAGAGGATGATTGAAAGAGCAACTGCAGCACCGGCGCTTGTCTCAGTTTCAGCTGCAACAATTGTGACATATTCCCTGTCCTCTCAGGAGAATTATGAATAGTTTCTATATCAATTACTTGATCAAATGAATCAGAACTAACAAGTCAGATGTGTTTTGGTTACTCTCAATGGAGAAGATATTTGCCTAAAATGGAGTCAGGAGTAGCACCTCAGGAATGGGCAGATCCAGCCTGTAGCGAAGGTCAAAGCCTTCAGAGAAGTTTTCGGCCTGACTAAGTTGATATCTTTGCTACAGTTACAAGATGTTACTGATCCTTGTAACACATTTTTTCCACGTTACCTGTGGATTTAACAATTAGGTGAGGGCACACAGAAGGTTTATCAGTTTAATCAGATGCTTTTGAAGAGATGCAATTGATCTTCTGCTGAGAACCAGGATGTGTAGCCTGTGTATTTTATAAACTGATGCCTGTGAGGAAGGAGTTTGTTCTTATAAGAGCATTATTTTGGGGAACACCTCATATTATAGTTCCTCTGAAGACTACTTCCCTGAAGAACCCCTACCCTCCCCCAAAATCTATTAAATGATATGGAATACACACACACAAGCATATGCACATGCATATATATATATTAGAAAGGTGGGGTGCTTTGTCCAAGCAGATTATTTGAGATACTAAACTTCCTGTTCTGAGACGACTGCTGTCTCTGTAGGACCCCAGCTGGATCGATGCAGTGGTATGCCATCCTCTTTTTACTGCATGTCAACAGACCAGTGACAAACACATGGATATGGATTTCTTTTCTCAGAAGATACCAAGGCTCTTGTTGGGTGATAATGAGTAGTGACGGGTTAAAGGCCATCTATCTGTGAAGGTCAGAAATGAATTGCAGGGAGGTGCTTATCATCTTTCCAAGGTTGAAAAAGAAACAGGAGAAAAGGCTTCTGGAGACTGTAGCCTGCTTCTGCGAGGGAGTTCAATGTATTTGGTGCTTTTTCACAAGGTTTTATGTTTCAGTAATGACATGTACTGTCCCTTATGATCCTAGTTCTTTCCCAAGCAGCTGAAATGAATATACCTGCTTTCCTAGTGTAATGAGCTAGATTTTTGTATAGATGGGATCTCTCCCTTTCTTTTCCCTAAATATTTAGCCAGAAGTTACACTTTCTCCAGTTTTTAATAGTTTTACTGAAGAAGGATCTCCAGTATATTCTCAGGTCCTCTACTGTGCAATTGTCTAGTATTAAATATTTGATGCAAATATTGATGTATTGGTTATAGTTCTTGTATGCGTTTTTTTCCCTTCAGGAAAAGTTGGACATAGGGACAAGAAAAGAAGTAGATGGAATGGGAGCACCTGAAATAAAATATGGGGATTCGATGTGCTATATACAACATGTAGACACAGGCTTATGGCTCACTTACCAATCTGCTGATGCAAAGTCTGTAAGAATGGGATCTGTGCAGCGCAAGGTGAGACCGTAAATGAGAATGCACTTTATTCAATCACAGTCTGGCAGGGAATGGGAAAAAAGTGAAGAAAACTGCAGGAGGCAATTGATTTCTAGGTATCAAGTATTTTAAACTTGCCTTCATTTCAGTATAAAGGTTTTTTAGTCATGTTTTGAAAATCAAAGTTACATCATGCGCTGAATCTGAAATTGAAAGCCAGACCAAGTACACCTGTTAGCCTATAGCCTTTAACCCCAAAGCATTGTTAAATGTGGAAATAACTTGAAGCCAAAATAATCTGGTTCATTCCTGAAAAAAGAAACCTGTAGCAACTGTGAAAATACTGGTAAATAGCCTGTATAATATGCTAAAATTCCTTTCTTCAGTGTTGTAGTTGGAATTTAGGAGGCATTAAATTCAGAGTCCTTGCTTTCCTTATTGTGCTGAAATGTTAAATTCAGCTGAAATGTTAAATTATCATTTGGTCCCTGAGGGGTTTCTTTTTTCAAGGAGTAATAACCACGGTCAAATAGAATGTTATCTCACAATTTCAAAGGAGGGACAAATTATTTTCACGATTTAAGACATCTTTCAGAAGTGACTTCATGTTTGTGTTTGTCTTCATTTTAAATGTCTAACTTGGCAGAAAACTGCTAATTCTCAGCATGGAAAAAACACTTAGGCCTTCTTTAAAAAAAAAAAAAAAGAAGAGAGATGTTAGAAGTAATGCAATCTTTATATGCAGTGTAGTATTTTCTTTCAGTGCTATATGTCCCTGAGTTTCAGAGGTAGAGCAACTTTTGGTATACTTAGAGGGTCATGCCTTATAATTTTTACAGTTTATATATACATACATATACACATATATACATACATATATACATATACACACACACATATATTTATGTAAAGTGATTATATAAAGACCTATAAAGCTTATCTTAAGAATTTCACCTTACTGTTACGGTTGATCAACAAACAAACAAACCCCTTTAGACTTTTGAATTCTTTATGTTTCTGTATGTTGTTTGTGACAAATAGAACTGTATGTTGATTTCTCTATATTGTTTACAGAAGCTCTGTCTGTGAGATTATCATAGCACTGGTCCATGCGCAGAAGGAAGTAAAATAAAGGAGTATCTATTTTTAAATAAACTCAGTTTTCCAGTACCTGACTTCATAATTTCTTAGCCTGCCTTTCTATATGAGATTTCATTCTTATTTGTGAACTATGTTGTGAAAGTGACTGCTTTTTATTTTTATATTGCAGGCAATAATGCACCATGAAGGTCACATGGATGATGGTTTAACGTTGTCCAGATCTCAGCATGAAGAATCCCGTACAGCACGTGTCATCCGTAGTACAGTCTTCCTTTTCAATAGGTTTATAAGGTGTGTTTTTAAATGGTCTTTTTATGCTCTTCCTCCCCCCCCCCCCCCGTTTTTTTTTAAAAATAAAGTCATCTGAAAAAAACTGATGAATACTTCTGAAACTAAACTTTGTGCTAGTGCTGTGTCTGTTACCAGCAGAGAAGTACCTAGAGAGGTATTATTCAGTTTTTCTCTGTCTTCTAATATTATTTTATTGTTCAGCCTTGATGATAAATTGATAAACATACTGTATCAAAACAAAAAATGGAAACCAATCATAAAAGAGATATTTTACTTGCCGGAACCTGCTAGGTGTTAAAGTAGGCCATGAGGTGATCAGTAGAACATGATTTACCTTTTGGTTTTTCAAGTATAGTTTTAAAAACAATACGTGGTGTAGCTTGAAAAACCTGATGTCTTTACCTGGAAGAATGAGATATCTGTACAATTGCAAACTTGTGCAAGACAAATATATTGAGTAAGTTCAAAGTCACAAATAAAAGTTTTCTCAAATAGACAATATCATATTATTTTTCCCTCCCGTTAGGCTTTCCTTATTTGCTCCCTTTTAATGCTGCTTGTTTCTGTACTATAGGAAATGTTCTATTTCACAATAATTTAGGCCACTAAAAATCTGCCAGATTTATGTAACTTGCATTTATCTTCCTACTCCAAACCTCCTCCTAAATAATGCTGATAAAATGCGAATTCTCAAATATTTGTGGCCTCAATAATTTAAGAAAGGCCACTCTTACCAGTGTAGCTGGCATTAGGAAAAGAATGATATGTGATAAGATCATACATAGTGGTAAGAGTTTCATATGAACTCATTTTCCCAGAGACGATTCAGTGTGTGAGAGGGTGACCTGAAGCAACTGTGTCCTAAATCAGTGTGCAGCTTAAGACATGGGTATGTGAATTTGTTGAAAAACATTTAACCAGATACTTAAATGATGACAGAGAAAGCCTATCAGAAGAGCTGACTATGTATGGCTTTCAGAATACAAAAGAAATCCAAGCCCTAGATAATTTTGTAAATGAAACATTTTCTTAGAAGCTTCTAAGAATACCATAAAAGATAAAGACAGAGAAAGGCACTTTAATGATACCACAGATCAAGGAAATACTGAATTACAGTAGCAATTTGTGGAGAATGCGTATGGAATCCAAGTTACTGTTTAAAAATGTAATGTTAGTAGAATGTTTCTCCAAGAAGGAAAAGTTGAAATGGGAGAGAGTTTAAATTATTCTAATAAGCGTATGGCCCATTTCTTTGCTGGGAAGCCAGTAGACAAATTGCTGGGAACTTCAGATCAGGTGGCCATAATAACAATTAGGTTGGTCTTTGCAGCTGTCTTTCTGAAACATTGTATTATTTTATCTAACAGATTTCTGTTTTTCAGCCTTCCTTCTAAATTTAAAATGGTTCCTAAATTTAGAAGTTTTCCAGTGACTGTTTAGCATTTGAGAAGGAAATAAGGGGTGATGTGCCAGTTTAAAAAAACAAAAACAAAAATCAAAAAACCCTCAAAGCGGAGTGTGGAACAGATCTAATAAGTAGCAAGGCCTCGGCAGGGTTCCTGGGAAGGAGCGAGGGGCTTCGCATCTCGGGAGAGAGGAATGACGAGGACAGTTGTGGGTCAGGCTGCTGAGAGAGACCCTTACACGCCTCTAGTGTGAGAAACGTGGGAAATAAAGTCATAGGGGCTGGGACGCACCGAGACGTGAACATGACAGGCTCCTGTGCCAGCTGAAGCTCGGGGCTCACTAGCGCTCCCTCCATCTCTGCTCCATCAGAGGAGCATTGCTGCACACTGAAGGGTCTCTTTGCTCCATAGCTGGGTTTTATTTGAAAATTAACTACCCAAATAAACGGTTTCCTTCCCCACTCCCTGTGGACGGGCCCTGTGTCTGTAGCCCCCCAGTCTTGCCCAATGCACCCGGAAGGTTCCCC